GAGAAAGGCACCTATCAGAAGAGAAAGAAGAAGAGATTTAGCTACACAAGGGAGTCAGCTGGAAAATTGACTCTGAAATAAATTTCTCTGATTCCAGAACATGAATTTTCAATTAAATGCTACGAACAAAATTGCCGAAAACAAGAGCCGTCTTCGCGAACCTTCCTTTCTTGCTGATCCCTATATCTATCCATAACACCTAACATACCCTCAAAAACTACATTTCCTCCCCCTCCTCCCAACCTCCCTCTCAGCTTCTTGTTATTCATTACACTGAAGGCATCCTCAGAGTCCAAACTTCTGCTCTCTCTCTCTCTCTCTCTCTCTCTCTCTCTCTCTCTCTCTCTCTCTGTGTGTGTGTGTGTGTGTGTGTGTGTGTGTGTGTGTGCGCGCATGTGTGTGTGTGTGTGTGACCGTATGTATTTGTATACGTATATTCACTCAAGGGTGCAACTGGACTCTGCGCCCTCTCTCTCTCTCTCTCTCTCTCTCTCTCTCTCTCTCTCTCTCTTCTGTGCGTGGACAAGCACATACAGAAACAAGTCAATAGCCTTCTTCTCCCTCATTGGGCGACTTTCCAGCCACTCCCCCCAGGCCATGCAACAGCCTCAACTCATTCTCTACATTCTCTGCTGTTCATTATTATAATCATACCCGCTCCTACTCCACTGCTACGGAACCCCATTCGCCCGCTCCTCCCCTAAAATTCATCTGCCACTGAGTCTATGACCTGACTGCTCTGCCAATCACTGTCATCATCAACCTCATACTGTTCCAGTTTTTACTCTAGCCAAGCCCCCTGTATTCGGTGGGACGCACACGAATCCGATTGTTTTTGGTTGTGATCATCTCTCGATCATGTGTGTCATCCTTGCACAGGGGCCATGTGATTCTTCTGTATTATTCCAATTTTAACGGATGTCCTCAGTCAGAATTTCAATTTCCTCATCGCTTTGGTTCTCGCCAAAAGTTGGTTGTGGGTATCGATCAACACCTCCCTCTGACTCTTGACCATCCGCCGAAGCACTGTGAGCGGCTTTGGGTCGAGCACTTTCACAATCGGTCTCTCGTCCTCGACTGCCACCCTCTCATCTCCCTTATCATTCACAAAGCTAGCTTCCTTGGCCTGTGCTTTCCTCATTCTCTCTGCAGTGTTCAGCTTGCCTACGACGGCTTTAAGAGCTTCGCCGGGCAAACAGCGGAGGGCTCCGCTGTCAGAGTCGCCATCTCGGTGGCCACCACTTGCCAACTGCAGCAAATGCTTGGCTTCGTCTTCTTCGGGAAACGCGAGGTGGGATTGTACGATCCCTTCGAGCTTGTTCAGTGACGAGGTCATCGCCGATGTCGTGAGCTGTAGCGAGGACTTCACTCCAGCGAGTACTGCTGCAGCCCCACCTTCCGACAGTCCAGATGCTTTCTTCTTACGCTTCGGCGATGGGAAAGATCGGAGCCACGACTGCGCACATAGCGAAATCCACGTCAGTGTCTCCCAGACAAAACCTGTCAGCTTTGTGACACCATAACCTGGCCTGACAAAGGCCGCAACAGTCGCAACTGTCCCTTCGCCATTCGACCCGTCACAGACATTGCAGAGATCCGCCGAGGAGCCTTCAAACAACTCATCCACTACCTCCACGATTACTTGGTCGAGCAAGGAGGTCATCGCCCTCATACGTCTCTGTATTCTGCAGCTCGTGCTCGTCCCCTTTTCTTCATGGCTGCATGACAAGGCATTACCTTGCACTTCACTCACAAGCAACAGCATATCGGAGGCAGCAGCGAATGTGGCCAGGAAAAGTAACTCCCTTGCCGGTGTCGTGACGGCATCCGTCTCCGTGCCTCCCTTCGACAGAGTGTTCTCAAGCGCTACTTCGAGAGTTTCTTCGGACATCCCCAATGTTTTTGCGTACGCCAGGACATGTTCCCTCAACTCGTTGGCATTGTCCACAGAAGCAGCAGAAGGTCCGTGGGCTGCTGCCGTCGATTCGGAACCCTTGTTTCCGGTTCCCGTGCCGGCGGAGTCGGCACCAGCTTCTGAGCTTCCCGATAGCGCCAACCAGACCATTCGCGGGATCAGGCATCTCCTCTTGACCGCGGACCGCCACCTTTGCTCGCGTCTGACCCGGTGGTCGTCGGACTCCGGCACATGCCAGCGCGCTTCCGTCCACGTGCCGTCTCCTTCAACAAGGAGACATTCGTCGGGGGAGGGGTGCCACCATGGCCGTGCCGTCAAATCTTCGTTGAAAGAGAGTTGCTGCAGCTGTGTTTCGGAGCACCACCCGAGCGGACTTCGGCCGAGATCGATGTCAGCGGTGGCAATCGCAGCTTGCGCCGTAGCCGGATCGTCGGCTTGCGTCTTTAGATGAATTAATGCTTGTTCTATCTGCATCGACAGCCGTTGATGAGACCTTTCCAGCCTACCTTTGAACTCTATGAACTCCTCGATCTTCGAGTACGTATGATGTCGGAAAACGAGGAGAAGGAGCTCGGCCGAGTCCTTGCTATGCTCCAGATACAACCGCCCCATTGCCTCAAAGAGGGGCCGCGCTTCCTTCCAGCGACCACAGCTTAGTAACCCAGGTACACAATGATGAGAGAGGGTGTCGTTCATGATATGCTTCACCTCCATCAGCGAATACGAAGGCACTGCCTGCTGAGGCGCACCCACAATGCCGTACAAGCTCAGCAGCATGAGAGCGTACTGTTGGTTATATCGTCTGACCGAGAGGCCCTGTTCCAGCAACAGCAGGGATTCCAACAGATAGCCAAAATCACGTGTTCGCCTAAACATCACGATCAGCAAGTTGACGGACAGGCAAAGGAGCTCTTCGTTGTAACCTCTCTCTTTTGCATCAAGATCATCAGAGAGATGTAAGGTGTCGGCAAACAGTTTGGACATCATCGCGGCGCGGCGAACGGTCTCTGCATCAGTTTCTTCGAAAACCAGCCCCAACTGCTCCTCCACATGGAATACGTTCAGTTGCCGCCTCAGCGACTTTACCGGATTCTCCTCCGCAATTCTGTTGCATGCTTCGCGAAGAGCACGAATCAGCTCGCCTTTAACAGATCCCGGCAAACACGACGTGTAGAGCTTAACATCCTTGGCAAAGCTGCCAAGGTGTCCGAATCTCTCGAAGTACCCAAGGATCGCCGCATCCAATCCCCCCAACAACTCCTGGATGGAGGAGTCCTCGCCGCCACGTCCGCAGGTCCCATTCGACCCCATCGACCTCTTCTCCCTATAATCCATCCACCTTCTGATCAGCTCAAGCTCTGCTAGGAAAGACCCTCTCCTCATGTCTTCCGATTCTTCCCTCTGCAGCTTTTGCACAAACTCCCTCGCTGCTAACCATCTGCCATGTGTGCCTTCGACGAATCCGTCACCGCTTCCGTGAGGCAACTCTCCATCTCCAGCGTAGGTAGAAGCTTCGTCTTTCTCAGCAACTGCAACATCCTTTGCAGGACAGGCTTGGCTGTCCGCTGCGGCGGCAGCGTCGTTAGGTGTTGCGGCGGCCGCATCGTTAGGTGTTGCGGCCTCGCCTACTCCCTCTTTACTGCAACCGTTCGGTCCAGCCGATGCTTTCAACACACCCACACTTCTCTCCTCCGCCAGGGGGGGACAAAGGAACTCCTCCAAGTAGCACTGCCATGCGACCCAGTCATCGGAGTTAGCCTCCAGCAGTGCCTTGTACGTCTCCGATGCGCTTTGATGGTCGCCTAGCCGGCGCAGAAACTCACCCTTGATGCGCAACTTGTCCACTTCGAGCCGCACGACCTCTCCCAAGGGGCCATCTATCAGCTCGACTGCTTCCCTGTGCTTTCCTAACTCGTTCAACACGTCAACGTATATCAGCAGCGACTCGTAGTCGAGAGTCGACGACAAGCTGGCGCGCTTTCGTAGGAGCGCCTCGGCAATCTGGAAGAGCTGCTTCCTCATCGTACCCTTCTCACCTTTCGCCTGCAGATGCGTGCTGCACACCGCCCACATCAGAAACTTGTCGTCGCCCCGCGCCTTGTACAGTCGCATCGCCACCTGCTGCTGTTTTGCGTATCGGTGCTCCCGAACATACGCATTGAAAACAGCCACCATAAGGTCTGTGTTCTTCGGGTGCTTGCTTGCCGCTAACTCGAAACACTTTGTCGCTTCGTCAAATCTTCCAAGGTCTCTATAGATGACCGCAACCGTGTTCAACACTTGCTCGTCATCTGTCCCTGCATCCTTGACCTCTGTGCACAGCTCTAGAGCTTCTTCCATCCTTCCCATTCGCTCCAGAGTCAGGGCCTTCAAAGTTTTGACGAGTAGACTGTCCGCATGCTTCTGCATGACGCCATTCGCAATTTTCAGCGCCTGCTTATAGTTACGCGAATCAATCGCTTCGTAAAGCGGCCTGATCCTCCGCTCCAATACATCCATCTGCCGCGCCATCTAGACAAATGCCCACAGCCAATTCTCCCAAAACCTCTCTTCAAGGGTCACACTCCCAAATCAGGCTTCCTCTTTTCGTACTCGACTTCCTGTGTCTGCCGTTCCGTCTGTCGTTCCGTATGTCGTTCCGTATGTCTGTCTGTCACTGTCCTCTCCCCTTTCAGCCTGCTTTCCACGGAGGTTCAACTTCCTCACTTCAGCATCGGGATTTAAGAGGCCGTTCGCATTTGGATACCCCTCCTCACCCTCTTCACCCACTTCCACGCCATTCCGCCCTCCCTGTTCGCCAATAACCACGCCCGACACGAGCTTAAGCCGAACAAGCTACCGCAGCTTGATAGTCATACGGAAGCACAGGTCGACCACCAGCGATACGGCTCGATCTGCCAACCCATTCGTAGCAGGCAGTGCATGAAACCTGCTCACACCCAAAGCATTTGCACACAGGCAGAGAGGAGTGTACCCCGAGCCAGAGTTGCCCGCGCCGCAGCGACTCGTCGCTCTCCCCCAAACTCACCAAACCGCATCCCGTCACCAAACCGCATCCCGTTCGCAACCCTTAGCACTGGTAAGCGTCAGCGGCCCTTTTCCCCAGTTCCTTATCACCACTCTCTATACAAACAAGGCCTGTGACCTCATCATGTCTTCAGCGGTGGCGTTGTAATCAAGACTCGACTATCTCTACTGCTTGACCTTAAGAGGTGCGCAAAGGGCCGTCCCGCAGGGTGAGTTACCTACGCGTCCGGCGTACACACGTCCTTTTTTCGCTCTCCTACTGCCTCTCTCAGTGCACACGCGAGGCCGTAATTTGGCTTTGTTCCCTTACCCACTTCCACACAAAGTCCATCTGCCTTACTCTAGCGTCCTAACTCTTCTGCACAGAATGATAAAACCCAGCAAATGCAAAAGAAGCCCGCCCGGGTAATCTCGGCACTTGCACCAAAAACCAACAACGACAAACGGGGAAAAAACCGAAAAAAAAAAAGAAGAGAAAAAAAAAAAGAAACAAAAGGCTTGTGATCCCCTTTCTAATGTTATGTCCTGCTGTCACAACCGCCTCAAAGCCCAAACACCCTCCCTCCAGTGAACGACCCTCGAAAACATATAGAGGCTTTCAGCAGCCCCTTGAGAGCAAACCCCTTTTGGATGCAACCCCCTTTTCGAAGCAACCCCGCTGCAGCACCCCTCAGCTTCAAAGAAATCCCGTAAGAAGGTGCTCGTGCTGGCCATTAGAAAGCACCAACACAAGGTCCTCCGAAAATGCCTTGAACATGGTCATCAGCAAGCACCCATAACTGCCAGATCGAAAAGCCTTCTCTCTCCACCAAATGCGCCCTCTTCCGCATTACCTGAAGCCATTGTACGCACCGAAACCCCAAAACCCCCACAATATTATAAGTCGAGAGTAAATCAGCAACAATAGGGAACTGAGAAGAACTATTCAATAGCAATTGAAAGTCTAAGCAATCCAAACAAGCACATAATCCACACAACTCTCTCTCTCTCTCTCTCTCTCTCTCTCTCTCTCTCTCTCTCTCTCCCTCCTCCAGGAATCGAAAGTCAAAGCAATCTGCAGACAGCACACATGATTGCGGATAAACAGCAGCGGACGAAAATCCTGTTGAAGTACAATGATCTTAGAGGGCGGGTTTTGTCTTTTCCGATATTTTGTTGTTGTCTTTTATTTTCCTTTTACGGAAAGAAAAAAGAAGAACGCTTCCAGGATGAAAGGGAGGTAGAATCTCCAGCTGAGAAAAAAAACATGCTAATAATAACTACTAACTAGTGATAAGACAAATTGGATTGATGGTTCCCTTCTTCCATCGCCAATCAAGCTGTGGAGAGAGAGAGAGAGAGAGAGAGAGAGAGAGAGAGAGAGAGAGAGAGAGAGAGAGTTATGTGCTGCTTTGTTGTTGTAGTTTCACTTGTCCACAGGTTTTGCTAGAGCCACTCCGTTAAAAGTGATTCTGTTTCTTTTCCGTGAATTTCTGGGTTTTTTCAAAGACCTTTTGCCAAAAAAAAAGATTTCTTTTCACTTTGGCAGGATGCATTTTGTACAGGGAAAGATTTATTTTTTTTCGTTTCGTCAAATCCGCAAGACCATAGATGTGTGTGAACAAAAATTAGACAGGAAGGGAGAAAAAGGAGGAGAGCGAGGTAAGAGTTGGGCAGAAACAGGTGGACAGAAAAAAAGGAGAGGGCTAGAGGGAGAGAGAGAGAGAGAGAGAGAGAGAGAGAGAGGTGGATGAACAGACTTCAAACCCAAGAGCCCAAGATTTCCTAAAAACGGAATGACCCACACCCATGTTTTATAGAACGACCAAAAGAGAGGGATAAAGGTACGGAGAGGAACAGAGGGGGACTGGAGAGAGGAGGGAGGAGAAGATGCCATTACCACAGAGAGAGAGAGAGAGAGCGATAACGGGAGAGAGAGAAAGAAAGGGACAGAGCAGAAGATAGTGAGAGCGAGAGAGAGAGAGACAGAGAGAGAGAGAGAGAGAGAGAGGGGTTTAGGAAAGGAAAGGGAGGAAGAGAAAGAAGAAATCTAGGAGGAGGAAAGAAGAAAAGGTGGACCACATGTCCTCATCAGGTGTGCTGAGATCACATAATCACCACCATAATACTTGGTGAACATATTTACTAATTTATTTATTAATTTATTTATTAATTTATTTATTATTTTATTTATTAATTTATTTATTAATTTATTAATTTATTAATTTATTTATTTATTATTACTATTCTCAAACACATTTATTTATTTATTTATTTATTTTTATTATTACTATTCTCAAACACAACGTATTTGTATATTACGTGAGAGAGAAGTGCCCGGTGAACCGTGGGCAGCGAGGAAGAAGAGGACAACAAACAAGGGCGGCTCACATCGGCCTCCTCGTCTTTCCCCTCCCTCCCCCGTCCCCGGAACTTTTGAAAGACTGCCCAGGTGCACATCATGCACCTGGACGCAACTCAGCCCAGGTACCTGCTGCAGAGAGACAAAAACACTGTGTAATACCAAATGCCCGAGCCGGCGTAATATACTTCGTTAATATTACAAGCCCTGACGACATTTTAGAAAAATATTCTAACGTCAAATATCAAAGTTAAGAATAAATCATATATAAAAAAAAACGAAAAATAATAAAATAAACAAATGGCAAGAAAATTAAGGAAATCGGACCATCCCTCATTCCCTCATTCAATTGACTTTCTTCAGCTTTCTTGAACACTTTTTAGTCCTTTTTCTTTTTCTTTTTCTTTTCACTTTTGTTCTTTTCATTTCACTTTATTTCTTTTCTTCACTTTTTTGTTTCTTTTCAGCTTTTTTTTTTTTTTCACTTTTTTTTTTCTCTTTCCACTTTTTTCCCCCCTCATTTCTTCCTTCTTCTTTCCATGGATTTTAATACTGAGATGTACTCTCGCCAATGAATATCCATTTTATTTTATTTTTTGATTTTTTTCCTCCTCTTTTTTTTTTTTTCGTTTCTTCCTTGTTTCACGTATTTTAGTTTTGAGATACATACCAAACGATGCGTGTTTGTCATCACCACCCACCCATCGGCTCTCCTCCTCCTCCTCCTCCTCCTCCCTCCTCTTCTTCCTTTTCCCACCCCCTCCTCCTCCTCCTCCTCCCTCCTCTTCTTCCTTTTCCCACCCCCTCCTCCTCCTCCTCTCCTTACTTTCTCCCCCCCGTCCTCCTCCTCCCTCCTCTCCTTCCTCTAACGACCCCCTCCTCCCTTCTCTCCGTAATTTCTCCTGTTCCACCTCCTTCTCCTCCTCCTCCTCCTCCTCCTCCTTCTCCTCCTCCTTCTTCTCCTTCTCCTTCTCTCCTTCCTTTCTCCCCCACGAGCGTTCCACGTGGCCTGATCTCGTCGTCCTCTTCTTTCCTTCTCTTCCTTTTTTCTTTTTCCGTTGTCGTAAATTATTTAATCACACGCCCGTCTGTTGCTTTCTTTCTCTTTTTTTTTTTTTGGGTCCAACTCGTCTGTCTCTTTCTGCCCCTTCCTTTATTTGCCTTTTTTTACCTTTTTTCCCCTTTTCATCCCTTTTTTCCCCTTTCTTTCCCTTTTATTTTCCCCTTTTCTTCTCCTTATTTTCCTTTTTCTCCAAGGCTACCAGCCGGGCCGGCCGGGTCATCTTGTTTGCCCGGGCGGCCCGGCCGTGCACGGGCCAAAGAAGGTCACAGCAAAACAAAAATAAAAAAGAACTCCAAAAAATCTGGAAAAAAAACTACGTTATGCAGAAAAATAAACTGAACAATTTTTGCCTCAGGGTCACATCAAAATTCTTCACCGAATTGCAAATAAAAAATTGCAAATAAGCAAATAAAGTTCGATTTTATTTTTTTTTCTTTTACTTTTTTTTGGCCCGGCCGGGCAAGTGGTCCCGGGACACTCTGGTAGGCAGGTTTTTTTAACTTGTTTTCCCTTTTTTTCCTTTCCTTTTTTTTTTGCGCCTTTTCTTTCCTTTTTTCCCCTTTTCTTTCTGGCCCTTCGATCCCCGATCCGTTTCAAAATTTACCTCCTTATCCATTTCTTCTTTTTTTTTTAACCTCATCCACTTCGAGAACACGGAATCTTTCAGAGACCCAAAAAAGAAAAAGAAAAAAAAGGAACCGACAACCGAACACGTGTCATCGCTGGGTCGTTTGCGCTGTTTTCCTCTTCCGCTATTCGTCAGATCCCAGCCGACCACCTTGATTGACAGAGGCATTAGCGCAAAAAAAAAAAAAAAAAAAAAAAAAAGAGGATATGCCTAACGACTCTTCCTTTTATTTTATTTTTTTACAGCCTTACGGCCTCTCCCCCAGACCCCAGCTTTTCAAATACAACACATATAAAGAGTAAAAAAATAAAAAATTATTTTTCAATTTAAATTTGTATTTTAAATTTGGTACAGAATTTCGATGTGACCCTGAGCCACTGAGGGCCCCACCTAATTTTGTAAGGGACGCCGGGCGCGGTTCCCGGCTTATATAAAATCTTCTTTGAGAAAAAAAAAAAAAAAAAAAAAAAGTTCTCGAGTTTATTGTTCTGCATAACATACTTTTTTTTCGGATTTTTTGGATTTCTTTTGTTTATGTTTTTTTTGGGCCGGGACCTTCCCTAATCCTTGCACGGCCGGGCCGCCCGGGAAAATAGGGTGACCCGGGCGGCCCGGCTGGTAGTCTAGACAAAAACCAAAAAAATAGATGCCCACCTTGTTGCATGGCATTGAGAAAAGATTTTGGCAAATGATCACTACCGATAGAGATCGATCGGCATCCCCCTATCGATAGGGATCCTATCGATAAAAGATTTATGTATTCACTTAGCTGCTCCAGTCCTCGACGAGCAAGATACCTGAGTCAAAAAAAAAAAAAAAAAAAAAAAAAAAAAAAAAAAAGATACCTCTGGCTCTTGAGGCCGAGGTCGCCGGTTCGAATCCGTGCTTGCACGGTGGAGGACGTCGGGCTCATTCACGTTCATGCTGGGATGGGTAGTGCCATCCTTCCTGTAACCTCATCAGCTGTTGGGGAGCGACAGTAGATGTGCAGCAGATTTACTTGCTGCTGTAGTCCTAGACGAGCAAATCCTTTGATTAGTATATGGTACGAGGTGTTTTTTTTTTGTTTTTTTTTTTTCGTTTTTTTTCTGCTCCGTTCCAGTTAATGTTTATTTGCGTGGATATCCTCCGCACTGAACCGCCGTACCCCAAACCGACATGGGTGAACGAGAAGAGGAGGAGGGAGGAGGAGGGCGGAGGAGGGAGGAGGAGGGAGGAGGAGGAAGGAAAGGAGGAAGGAAGGAAGGAAGGAAAGAAGGATGGAAGGATGGAGGAGCGAGAGCGAGAATTCACCTGAACTTTCTCTCTGCCATAGCCATCCGGTGCAAGTACGATCGGCAGGCAGCCGCCGCCGGCACCCCGACCAGCAGATATCGATCGATGATGAGAGAATTCAGGTGAATTCTCGTACGAAAGCTCAGATATTGCTCAGAAAATCAGGGTCGATTTTTTTCCCAGATACGTGAATTCTCACATGAATACTCTCTCGCGCATATTAGCCGACGAACATCAAGTTATGATGAGGATGCATGTGAACATTCATCTGAACAATCATCTGAAGTGTCCCCTACGGATCGGCATCCGCCGGCGAAATTGCGCTTGGTAACCTAATCGGGCCACCGCTGAGAATTTTCACATGCGAATTCATATGAGAATTCATATGAGAATTCATATGAGAATTCACTTGACGGATTCACCTGCAGGATTCACCTGTTCTGAGAATTCACCTGAGAATTCATCGGCCACGATAGGGTTTTTTCAAATTCATTCGTTAATTTATTCCCTTTTTTTGGTTGTTTCTTTCTTAGGAAAAGCAAAATAAATTTGAATGGTCCTCTATCTTTACAGGGAACCAGACAGGTAGGTAGACAGGCAGGTGCAACTCGTTCAGACCAGATGCAATGGATCTGACGTGGGACTTGGCACTCCCTCGTGATCTCGTTTCACGAGCACCACCCCAGGTGTTCTTTTTATTAATAAAATAAATATATATTTTCTATTTTTTCTATAAATAGAATCTTGAGGAGGACGAGGAGAGGAAGAAGCAGAGAAGGTTTGTCAAGACCGGGGAAAAAAAAAAAAAAAAAAAACAGCGCCAAGGCTGAGTTATCGTCGTGAAGAAGAAAAACATATAGAAAGCACGCAAGGCCGACGAGTAATGAAGGAGGAGGAGGAGGAGGTCATCATCATGGCTTGGACTACGACCAGGCGTGAGTTCACCTTTTTATTAATTCAAAGCACAGTTATTAAATTATTAATAATAAAATAAACAATAAAATAATTTAAATAAATACAATTAAAAAGCAGGTTCACGATTGAAGTCTACGTCCACGAATCTGATAATCACTGGATAACCTGCTCTTCGTATTTACGTATTATTTATTTATTTATTTATTTATTTATTTATTTATTTATTTATTTAAAAAGCAGGTTGACGACTGAAGTCTACGTCCACGAATCTGATGATCAGTGGATAACCTGCTCTTCGTATTTACGTGGTTTTTTTTTTTTGGTTTCTGTTTTTTTTTTGCTTATTTATTATCTTCTTTTAATAACCAAAAAAACGCAAGTCCGCTTACAGATCGCGCAGACAAGGGCTCACTTGCTGACGTGGCTGCTAAGGAATAATTCCAGGTCAGCAAATCCTCCTCTCTCTAAATCCCTTTTTAACCAGAATGGTCTTTTCCCTCCACGTCGCGATAACTCCCCCCTCTGTCTACGACTACCACTCACTCCTCTCCCCCATCTATCATCTTCATCACCATCATCACCATCATCAATCGTCATCATCACCATCATCAATCGTCATCATCACCATCAATCACCATCATCATCAGCAATCACCATCGTCCTTTTATCTACAGCAACTTACTTATTCCTCCATTCTCATCATCCTTGTCATCCTTGTCATCCTTCTCATCCTTCTCATCCTCGTCATCCTTGTCATCACCATCCTTCCATCTATGATTATACCTCCTCCTCCTCCTCATCATCATCATCATCATCATCATCATCGTCGTCATCACCATCACCATTCTCATTATCAATTTATCATCATCATTATCATCATCATTATCATCATCATTATCATCATCAGCAGGAGCAGCAGTGCCATCTTCGTCATAATTAATATTAATAATCGCCCCCATTTGTTATTTTCCTTGGATTTCGGATTGTTGCTGATTCCTTTTTTCTTACTAGTTTCTCAAATTTCAATCAAGTGTGGTGCGAGTTCACAACGACGACCTGTTCGCGGCTAATTCAACTCCCAACCTCTCTCTCTCTCTCTCTCTCTCTCTCTCTCTCTCTCTCTCTCTCTCTCTCTCTCTCTCTCTCTCTCTCTCTCTCTCTCT